CTAGCGATGGCCTCCAACCTACTAGCGATGGCCTCCAACCTACTAGCAATGGCCTCCAACCTACTAGCGATGGCCTCCAACCTACTAGCAATGTCATCTAAGTGCTTCTAAGAAGCCACAAATCCACTCTTTGGCAGCTTTGCAGCCAAGTTCTCCACCACCACCACAAAGCCTTGCAATCTGCATGGACATCAATTGACATGGTATCTCGACTTTCGGTGAAACAGAAACTATGGCACTTCTTTCAAGAGCCAGAACCCCATCAAAACCCAAACAGATCGCTTCCACGAATGACCCTGAAAGGTCGCCAAGTCACTGATTTGCTGCTTTGTTGCCTTGACTTCGTCCCAAGGAAGACAGGTCAACGGCAGAAATTGTACGATACCACCACAACTGCCAAGTTTAGCACACACGGCAGTAATTATAAGGCAAAGAATCTGCCGTATCCCTTCACATGAACTGGCCAAGATTCTGCTTAGACTGCAAAAATGTAGCTTCTTGCTACTAGTAGTAATGCCCTTGTTACTAGTAGCTTCTTGTTCTGATCTTTCAGGCCAAGGAGCTAAAGCCACATCGGCACTTCCAATCACCGCTCTTCACACCGGGTGCGCTCTTGGCCTGGTTCCGAAGACCAGTCGCCAAGACTGAAAGCAACGACGCCTGCCTTGCCGCCATAGGGTGAAGCACCCCCTGAGCTGGGTTTGGGCGTCTGAATGACTTAGCCAAATAGTGGAAAGTGAGGCAAGACGGAAGTGGAAACTGTATTTGGCTAAAGAGAAACAAAAAAAACCAGCCGTCCAAACCAGCAAAAGGCTGAAAAGAACGATACAAAAATAAAGATGCCCTCAACGAGGGTCTCTTCCGTTTCGTCTCTGTGGTGCACCTGGTATCGCCCTCGTTCGCTGTGGGCCGTAGCTGATCGGAGCCACAGGAGCCATCTGAGCCAGCTGTGCAGCTGCCTGGCGTCGGCCGCGTCGGCGTCGGCCGAGAGGGGCCAGGGGTCGTTTTATGGCACAAGTTGCAATTAGGAGTTTCTTGTTACCAGTAGCTACTTGCTCCTAGTAGTACGGCCAGGAGCCCCTAGTAGCGTAATGGCTCCTAGTAGCGATGCCAGGAGCCCCTAGTAGCTTCTTGCAGCATGAGGGACAAGTGATGATAATCACAAACTAGGCCAAAATGAGCACTTGCAATGAGCACCAATGTCTTCTAAAGCGGAGAAATTGAAAGACTACAGTATGAAAGCTGCCTTGGCACACATCAAACCAAATTCCGCGGCAAAGCATATCTTTCATCGCTGATCACGGGACATGGGTCGGACATCAAACAGCATACGACACACGGATGTTCCCCTGCTTGGCTTGTATCTTTTTGATGGACACCTCCCCAATCTCACTGCTGGACTCGACATGAGTCCCTCCACAGCCACAGGAAACTCCATCCATGCTGATCGTCCTCATCCCATCCACAAAGCCTATCTCGGTAGAGATATTCTTAGCAACGAGTTCCTTCATCTTCGCAGAGATCTCTTCCATTGCAACAGTCTTGGCTTTCGCGTCCTTCATGTCCAACTGTCTTCCCTCGTTTGTGGGAATGTACTCCACGTATGGGCCCTCCTCAAAATGATAGCCTTTGCCTGCTTGCCATCGGAAACCGAGCCCAAAAATTGCGACGTCAAGCAGGTGACCCGCAGAGTGCAATCTTGCTGCTAGGCGTCTCTTTGGCTCATCAACCTTACAATGCACCTTCAATTCCTTACCTTTGTGGCTCAGCCAAGCCTGTATGACAGCCTCATCAGCTTTGCAATCATGCCGGATGACACCTTCCTTGACCTTGTCCTTGGACACAAACACCACACTGAGGTCCGACAAACCTTTCGCACACAACAGGCCTGTGTCACTAGGTTGACCTCCACCTTGTGGATGGAAAAGCGTCTGGTCCAGCTCTATGCTCAAAACCCCCTCGTTGAGACTCATCTCCCGAACTTGGGCCTCACATTCGAAGATGTAGGTTCCATCCATGTACAAGGGTCGAGTCGCATGCGTGGCGGGCTGCGGCAATGCATTCTGCGGACGCATCTCTCGTTTGTCGCCTTTCTCAACAGGTGTTGCTTGCAATGTGTGCGCTTCTTTGGGTGCCTCTTTGGGCTTGCGTGGCTCTTTGTGCACACCATTGAGGGTCGCCATCGAAGCCATTGGCAAGCCTATCTCTTTTAAATGGCAGAGCTCCATGGCCGCAAAGCTCAGCTTCAGGTTTCTACACTTTGGAAGCTTGTCTGGATGTGATCTGCACCTACCTCCTTAGACCTCATAGCAGCTTGGTTGTAACTACTAACATCTACTAACTACAGTTTCTGTAGGATTGCGTGTTGCGAAAATTCTTGAAATTAGCCCCATCCTTGCTCGAAAACTAGGCATTTTAGGTCATCATCTGCCAGAATTGTTTGCGAGAATTGTTTGACCATGTTTGACCTCATACCAAAAGGCTACAGACTATGACTTGCAAATGGGCGTGCTCCTTCGCATAAGGCTGTTTTTCTCCAGCTCCCATCTGCCTCCCTTCCCACCATCTGGCCTGAAAGGCTGCTGGTACTCTCGAATCGACAGTAGGGTAGGCGGTCAAACCTGGACCAGAGATAGAAGAAGAAAAAAGGAATTGAAATGTCATATTAGGAACATGTCAAAGAAAAAAGTGGGTTGGAGGCCATCGCTCTTAGGTTGGAGGTCATTGCTACTAGTTAAGTTTCCAAAAAGATCTAGGAACCAAATGATTAGTGCGAGCTTCCTTGAAGAAGCGTGAGCTATCCTGCTATCCTGCGTCCATATGTAGGAGCGTCCTTGTAGCTACTAGCTACCTAGCCACTAGCTACCTCTATAGCCACTACTACCGCCTCTACTCAGCCTAGCACCCTAGTAGCTTCTTGTTCCTAGTAGTACGGTCAGGAGCCCCGTTCGTAGCGTCGCCTGTCATCAGGGATGGAGCTAATTGAGGCACTTGCACGGCCACGCCAGGCTTTGGGGACTTGCATCCCATGGGCCCGTTGCCACCGCACTTCAGGTTCGAATCCCGGTTTCCTGGGTCCGAAGTGCATTACAATTTTCATATCTGGAAAATATCTGTTATAAGTGCATTACAAGTTTCTTGAGTAGCTTAAGTCTCCTTTCTTTTTTGAAGTATAAGTAGCCAAATTAGGATACATATAAGAATTATTGAGTACCTTGTCGCATTTCCTTTGAAGCCACAGCCAAGACTCTAAAACCGCATGCGCACACCCATTCGCCAGGAGTGCCCTGAACGCCAAGAAGACCCTGCGCGCCATATGCCTAGGAAGAAGGCGGGCGAAGTCACGCTCGATTAGAAGCAGCACAACTCGAGCAAGTGCCATCCCAATATCAGAAGCATCATGGCTAAGCAGCCGGTGTCGTTTTTCTGTGGGCTATCCAACTCATTCCTTCCTCGAAGAGTCCTACAATTTGATTCTTCGCCAGTCCACGCGTTTTACCGCTGGGCAAGTCGGGCAAGCCACATGTCTGCCGCTGGGCTTGGCTTGGTCTTCTTTCAGACTCTTTGGGCTTGGCTTGGGCTTCGGTTTTGGCACCTCACCTCGCCCTAAGTGCCAAGGGGAAGAAAGGAAGGCAGGCGGGAAGGACAAATGGGAGGAAGGAGAAACGCATGTCGTGTTTTCATATCTTTGCAATGCCGGGGCCTATGTCCTATGTTGTCCGAGAAGAGATAAATAAAGAAGGTAAGGGCCCCTCTGATAGGCCCCCCTTAAAGGGACCTTATTCTTTGTTCATCTCTTGTTGGCCAACTCTTCCCAAGCCCCATGATACTAATACTAACTACTCTTCAGCATCGAATTATTTCATTCGATGCTGCGTGAACATTGGCTAGTGGCAAGCTCCGGCTCAATCGCCGAAAGCACGACTTGCTGTGAGTTGCTTGGATCCAAAGATTCTGCAATTCCGAAGCTAAACTTCACCAAAGGCTGCGCTCACCGCAATGTGTTCTCCTTGCCCTCCCTTCCGTTCCATTTTGTTGCCTTGCCCCCTGTTTTCCTTTCTTCCTTCTTTTCACTTCCATCTTCCTGCTGGTACCCAGCATAAAAAGGTATAAACGGACTTCCATAGAAAACACACCCCCTCTCTGGGCCCTGAACGCCGAGAAGATTCTGAGTGCCAAAAGCCAGGCCCGCCTGGATCGAAAGGCTGAAGCAAATGCTATTCCGAAACGTAACATCATCAGAAATGAGGTCTGAAGAATCAAATACCGTACAAATCTTTCGAAACCTAGAAGCTTCCAACCTAATAGCGATGGCCTCCAACCGCTTTTGGTTTCATCTCACAGCGCCAACAAACCCGCCGGAGCCGCCAAGTTCAAACCCGCCGGAGGCGAAATAAGAGTCATGTCGCCTGAGCGCGTCAGCGAGTAGCGTCATGTCTCAGCGGTATCTTGAAGAATTCAAAAAGAAAGAGGTAAGACACAAAGACCGTCAATTTGTCCTTAACATAGAAAAATTGAAAACTTGAAATATCTTGTTACTAGATGTTACTAGTAGCGATGCCCTTGTTACTAGTCAATTCAAGCCATGCTTGCAAAGGAGGCCGCCACAGCAAATTGGATGCACGAGTTCCTGGGCCAACGCCCTCTTCTGGCCTCTGTGTTGCTTTTTGACACCACAAGGTCAATCCTGAGCTGGACGAACAACTGGGCCAAATGTCCGGTGAACTAGCAGGAAAACCCAGTCGCAGCTTTGGATTGGAACTTCAAGTGTCAAACAAGTCTCCAGCTCATGGCAGTTGGTCTACCTTCCTTTTTCTGAGCCACACAGCCAACAGCCAAACTTACATCACGTCGGGCTGCCGGGCGGCTGCCAGGTCCGGCGAAGAAAATGGACCAAACACGACCAAAACATTAGACCATTGAAGAGTACTAGGAACAAGTGCCACGCTACTAGGAACAAATGCATCGCTACTACTAACAAGTGCCTTACTAGCAATAACAATGTTTGCTGGTAGCTTATTGTTTCTATTTATTTATTGTTTCTACTAGCTTCTTGTTCCTGGTAGTAAGGCCCCTGTTCCTAGTAAGCCCCCAACCTAAGAGCGGCCTCCAACCTACTAGTGATGGCCTCCTCCCCTCCTCTTCCCCTCTTTTCCGAAATAAATAGAAACAATAAGCTACTAACAGGCACAGCTTACATGATGAGACAGGAAAATCGTCCAAACCATCCCTCCGCCCAATTTTCCATCTGTTTGCTGAAAGCAACCCGCCTTCACGGCGTAGGTCTGGACTTGGTGTAGAGGTGCTGCGGGCCCAGCGTGGGCTGCATCTCGTACCTCCCATCACCGGCCGGATCATCGACCGTTTGGGTGTGGAGGAAGCCCTCCCATCACCCCCATCTACAACCAAACTCGGGCGTCCCCGTTTTTCATCTCTCCTCGGCTTATAGTGCTTTGGCGCACGCCTCAAACAACTTGACACAATCTGCCTTCTCGCACATGCGATACTTGGAGTTGTCGGGATCTGCTCGCGATGGCCTCCAACCTAATATCAATGGCCTCCAACCTGCTCGCGATGGCATCCAACCTAATAGCGATGGCCTCCAACCTACTCGCGATGGCCTCGAACCAATGGCCTCCAACCTGCTCGCGATGGCCTCCAACCTGCGCGCGATGGCCTCCAACCAAATTACAATGACCTCCAACCTGCTCGCGATGGTCTCCAACCAAATAACAATGGCCTCCAACCACCTGCCACTGGTCGCGATGGCATCCAACCTATAGCGATGGCGTCCAACCTACTCGCGATGGCGTCCAACCTATAGCGATGGCCTCCAACCTGTTCGCGATGGGATCCAACCATAGCAATGGCCTCCAACCTGCTCGCGATGGCATCCAACCTAATAGCGACGGCCTCCAATTCGGAACGGCGTTCGAAAACTTGCACTCTCGGGTGTTTCTATATTCATAGCCACATCCGGAGTTAAATGCATCTTTTACTGCGTGGAAGATGTTGCTCGACTGATTGAGCACGACTTTCGGCAGGAACTGCCTCGAGAGTTCCTCAATCCATTTGTCATTCATTCTTCCAGCTTTGGCCCTGGGCTCTGTCAAAATCTTCTCGATCTCCTCTTTGGATTGAGTGGCACTCACCATGATCTGCGTGCATTTGGTTTCCAAGGCATCCTGAATCGCCTTGGCCATCTTCTTGGCTTTGGGATGATCACCATGCAACTCCAAGGCTTTTGCCGAATGAGTCATAACTTCCCCCATTGACAAACTTGCAGCAACCCGCTGATCAGCATCTTCCATAGGGACCTCGCGCAAGTACTTCAAAATGCTCTCGCTTCCCCATCTACAGAACATCTGAATCTTGTAGAATCGATGCCCAATCGCGCCATGAATTGAGCCCCCATAGGCCTGAGCACATGGCCCTGTTGCGCTTCTTCTTCGGAGTGACCCAGCGCCAATGCCACCCTTCTAAAGGCCTTCACCATGGCTGCCTTCGTCGGCGGTTGCTTGGGCTTGGAAGTCACCAGGAAAGGGTCATCATCTTGGTGTCCATTCTCCCTTGCCAGCCGCATCAGGCGTCTCGCGGCAGCCACAGGGCACGAATTGGGGTAGGTCGCACACAAACAGCCTGCTTTCGCAAAATGCCCTCTCCTTTCGTATCAGTCTTGGTGGCGGGGAGATACAATGACACCACACCGCACTTCTCCCCTCCTCCTTCTTCGAGCTGCACGTGTCTGACCATTCTGACCGCTGCTTCCATCTCCCGGCATGCGAAGAGCGCAAACAAAACAACGACGTCCTTGGTCCTCAGTGGCCCATCCTCTACTGCCTCTACTTCTTGGATTCTTGGAGACCTTCCAACCTTCTCAAACCCATCACCAAGCATTGCTTGTCTGCGCCAATGCCTCACACACAGGATCGGATAGCATCCTTGATTGCCAGGGTGAACTGGGTAGCCTTTCAGCGCACGTTCTCTCTTCATGCTCGCAAAGTACTGGGCTGCTGGACGGTATTGTCCAGCCTTGAGCAAAGCCTGAGCGATATCAACTGTGCTGACGGTGAGAGGGAACGGGTCCACATCCAAGCTGAAGGCTCGGTGTTCCCACCGCTGGACTCTGGCTTTGTGCGTAGCTTGATTTGATTGGGCGAATTTGTCCGACTGAAACTCCTCCATTGCCTTTCGGAAAGCTTCTGGGTCTTCCACGATCTCTTGTACCGTAGCATATGGCTTCACCACTGGCTCTGTCTTTCGAAAAGGGGTGCCAGG